CAACCTCTATGTGGTGGATTCCACAAATTATGTTAGAAATCAGAAGCCAATAGGGTACATGCTTTCATAATTCCTGTCTCTTTAGCAGGACTTACAGGTTTTTTAAAAAGATGTGTTCTTGTGTGTGTGAAATGTGTGTTCAGAAACTATTTGTCTTATTTATCTAATATTAAATATTAACAATGTGCCGCATGTTTTTCAAAGCATCATGTCAGTAACTTGCCCATTTTTTAAACCTAAACAGGTAAAATGAGCAGCTCAACAACCCATCTCTAAGCACTGTATAACGGTTTGGGCTATCCTGCTGTATTTATTGTTCTTTGGCTGATTCTTTAAGAGTTAGAACACCTAAGATAACACAATGTGCGAACACCTAAGGATAATTCTAAGCAAAGGAGCTATATAGCCTTTGGTTTTCTTCTCCTCTTCAGTGCGTTTTTAACTTCTATATTGAATATATATATTGAATGTTAGAAGAGGGACATATAACTTTCTATCTTCATACTATATTTTTTTCCCAGTTTTCCCCTCTGTGCCATTTGTGTCTACAACAAACATGTACTTTCTTTTTGAGGAAACATTTTTTTTAAAGGACTCTAATTATTTGTCAAGGTATTTCCTCTGTCAGACAACCAGTATAATGTTTCTTGGTGTTGTCTTTTATGTACCTTTCTTTGCCCTTAACTAATGAGAAGCGAAGCGGCCCATCTTCATTATGGCAAAGCTAGTAAGTAGCAGGCCCTGAACTAGAACTCAGGCCTCCTGATCCTCTGTTCAGTGTGTCTGTTACCAGGCCACCTTGACTCTGGCTTATGCTTAGGGAAAATACAGAACTAGTTCCTGGAGTAGGTAGCATTGGTTGCTACCCACATGGATACTGGTAATGTCTACCTTGAATAACAGCCTGAAATTTTCCCCACTATTTCTCTCCATTTTTTATCTTGCCTTTGAACTTTATAAAAATTTCTGCACTCAGGAGCTAGGGGATGAAATCAGAGCCCTCAGGAAAAAATCAGTGTCAGAATGCAACTTTATTCATTCATTTATCAACATTTATTTATTTTGACTAGGGGATAGTATAAAAAGCAAACTTTAAAAAAATCTTTTTCACTAGCTATTAATTTTTTCATGAGAGTAAATATCTTTAAAAGCTAGCTAAGTCTAAAATGCCTATTCACTAGAGCTTTCTATATCTAAATTTTTTAATTACAAGTTTTTTCTTGCTCTTAAACTTTGTGCTTTCATATATTAGAAACTCAAGGCTAAGGTATAATTATAGTGATCCTTCTTGGTTCTGAGCCATAGTTACTGGCTGGTTAGCATGAGTATCCTTTATATTTTGAATAAACAAGTTGGAGAGACTTTAGTGCTTTAATTTTTCAGGAAAGCGAAAAACACTCTTCATCTACCTGCCTAAAGGCTAAAAACAATTGTACTGAATCACAGAGAAGAAAATCAAAACAATTGCAAAAGTATTCATCTAATTAAACTTATAAACTTAAAAAATGAAGTTTATAATGCAGTTTGTCAAACACGAGAAATAATTACTTTAATTTTAAAAAACTTAAGATTTTGGTTTTGATCAAATAGAGAAAATGGGAAAATTAGAAACGCAGTGAAAGAAAGATATATGCGCGCACGCACACACACACACACGCACACACACACGCACACACACACACGGGACCCACAGGAGAAAGTCCCTCTGAATCAAAAGAATTACATGTATCTGAATTGGCATGAAGCTTGCATTCACGTGACTGTAGTTGTCATCAGATCATCCCATATCAGAGCACTTATCTGGGAAACAGGGCCTCCCTGAACCTTAGTTTCCTCATCTGTATACCAAGATTATGGAACTCGGTAACCTTTGACGGTCGGCTATAAGTCTCTGCTGGATTAACTATTTTATGTGTCTTTATTTGAATATTTAAACATTTAGAGGTTCTACTCTAAACTGAAAAGCCAGAGTAGCTCAATAAGTATTTATTGGTTGAATAATTAAATTTGGTCCTTATTATGTGTTTTAATCAACTCAGCTAACAATATGTGGGTTATTTCAGTTATTTTTCAGCCAAAAATATTTTTCACATAGATGACATCTTGTGCTGAAAGCTTTTCTGTAGCAAAAATGAGTAAGAAGTAAACTCTGCTTTTACTAATGGGGAATTAGTGTTTGATCTTTTAACAGTGAAGTTTTCAGCATGAGCATTGCAAGAAAGGCTTTGATATTAATTGTGCACTTCAAACTGAAGCATGTCTGAACTGAAACTGGGTATTTCCAGAGCTGTCTGTTCTTATTCATTTCTTCTTTCCTTACTCTTTGCTCTGGCATGTAAATATTCTTGTACAGTTCTTCAAGGATCTGCAAACTAGAGAGGCAAAGAGAGCCATATATCTTGTTTACAGCCTTGTCTAATCCTATGTGCAAGAGTAAAATAAAAAGATAAATGTTTTTATTTGACGGATCTAAAATCTGAAGTTTTTTTAAACATTGATCGAAAACAGCAATGAGACTATGATGATGTTACGTAAGTGTAATGAAAAGATACAGTTTTAGTGTAATTATTTTGAAATTTTTAACTTTAGACCATAAATGTTTTTATCTAAACCTATTTGTGAGTTTTGCGCTTGAAAGATTATTTTAGAAGCTATTTCATTATATTTTACCACCCTTCTTTCAGCACATTATATTAGTTTTGATTTTTGCTATGAATCTCTATAATGCAGAATCTTTTTGAAGAGTCCTCTTGGCTCACAAGATGTTTGCCCATCCTGATTGGAGAGAGTTGCACAGAAATCCTATTTAATTTTAATGGTCTTTTTTTTTTTTTAAGAAAATGTCTTCTATTATTAGCATAGATTATATTTTATTAACTGTCATTTTTTATCTTGCCCTTTTAACTTTATAAAAATTCTCTCCTCCAAATATAAGTGCCAACAAACTTGGAAACTAAGATTGGCTAAGAATCAGGTGCCACATTAACACTTTATAAAACGTGGTAATAATTTCACTTTTTTGTCAGTCTCATTTTTGTACTGGCTCTGTGACTTCTGACTACTACTTTTCCAACGATAGATAAAAAGCAGAAATTATCATCCCTGCTCTCTCATTTCATTGGGGAAATTGAGAACCAGAAAAGTTAAGTGCCTGGTCCAGGCCTCCCACTGAAGCCGGAGTAAAGCCAATCCTAGCACCCACATGCTGGCCTTGAGTCTTGTGCTTTCTCTATCTTGCCTACCCATTTGAAGGAGCACTGAAGTACCACTTAGAGTACTTTCTGCGATCATTTGCTTTTCAGCACATTATCCAAGATGTGCTAGTTAAAACTTAACTGCCCTTTAGAATGATTGATGACATTTCTGCTTCATTCTTTTAACAATATTAATTTTATAAGCTAGTTTCGAATTTTATTACATTCTCACCATTTAGGTAGAAAGATGTTCTCTTTGAGAATCTGAATTCGTCTTCACATCTAGGAGGAGTAACAAATCAAGCATAAAAATTAGAACAGATTCAGGCTCACATATAATTTTATTTAAATCTTCAATAGGTTAACTAGTGTTTTCATTCAAAACTATTTTGTAATTGTGCCCAAGATTGAGATTCTAGAATACTTGTCCTAGTTTCCTGCAGACTATAGAAACCAGAGGAATAGGATGGAGCATTTTGCAAACACTAGAATGTCAGTGGTTTCTCATTACAGTGCCCTGGTATGTTTATTAATCTTGGATTGATTTATCCATTTATTAAGTGAACATTTATTCATCCAATTATTAAATGAACATTTACCACTTACTTTGCTGGATACTAGGTGTATATATACTAGTGAACAAGACAAAGTCCATGCCCTCAGGAAGCTTATGTCTGGTAGGGTCGTCAAACAATAAACAAATAAGCAAATAAGATAATTAGGATGTGATAAATAGTGGGATGGAAATTCTTTTAAAAAAAAAGATGATATGATAAATAGTAAATGAGAGTGGCCAACTTTATGTGGGGTTGTTAAGAAAGACTTCTCTAAAAAAGAGAAATTTAAAGAGATTCCTGAAGTTGATAATGACCAGGCATGCAAAGAGCTAGAGAAAGAGCATTGCAGCCAGAGGAATCAGCAAAGGCAAAAACCTTGAGACAGGAAGCACCACTGTTTCCTGTTAACTGAGAATATAAATATCTTCCTACCCGCTACTCACAGATACAGATCTCTAGACGTTTCCTTTTGTCACTCTCTTTTATCTCCAAGTAATTTTCTTTTCTTTCTAAAGGTAGAGAAAAAGGCCTCCATTTCTCCATCATTGCCTATTATACATATTCACCCAGATTAAGTAATTTTGTATTTAAACTCCTAGATGATTTTGATCTCCAACTCTCATTTGGTCTGTGTTCTAGATATTTATGTGCATATATTTTCTTCTTTACAACAGTCTGGGTAGAATCGGTACCTAATTTAACTTTGCATCTTTTGTATCAGCTACACTTAGCATTAGAGGAAATTAAAACTATAAAGAGCTAAGACATATCAATTACCTGTAATAATATGTCTTTTTAAAACTTCTCCTTTTTCTGTGCCCTAGTAAATAAGTGAAGAGAGAATAGGACCAGATCTGATTTTCAATCCAAGACTTATTCACCGACAACAGTAGTTCTTCCCCTGGCTTGCACACTGGAATCCCCTGACATCACCCGTGATGTTTTAAAATATTCTCATCTGAAAGTTCCAAACCATAGAAATTAGAATTTCAGGAGTGTGACCCAGACATGAGCATTATTTAAATTTCCCCATGTGGTTCTAATGTATAACCATGATTGGTAATAAATGCCCCACAGCACCATGACCCCTGGACCATTCTCACTTTCCTAGGTAATTTTATTAATTTGAGAAACTTTTTTTTTCATGTATAAAAAATTTTAAAGTAGAGAAGTGTTAACTGTGAGATAGTAGTATAATACATTTTGTTTTGTTTACAATAGTAGCTTACTTAACTGTTTAACTTTTCAGATATTTCGAAAGAAAGCAGTGGAACTTGGGGTAAAATTGCTACCTGCATTTCATACTCCTTCTGGAATACCTTGGGCATTGCTGAATATTAAAAGGTAAAACTCTTCATTTCTGACAACATGTTTTAAGTTGTAATATTGGAGATTGTAATCTAACAAATAGACACTGGATGGATAATTATTTGAATGACGTCGGTGACTGCCACCATGGGGAGTTTTAGCCTCTCTCCTTATGTTGGAAGTTTTCAGTTTTTCAGTGTTCCATGGCCTTAAACGTGTCCCTGTCATCGGATAACATGACCCCAATAGCATCATCTAAGCCAGACGTGATTTGAAGTTTTCACTATTTCATGGTGATGTTGCATCAGTGAAAAACTGTCTTCTCCCTAGATTCCAAAAGCATCCATTATCTTTAAAATTGTCATCAAAGCATTTCAGAGATAAAACACTTGGACTCATCAGATTTCCCATGCAATGAGCTGGTATAGCTGAGATTTGGGAGCGTCTGAGGCTGCCCTACCCCCACTACAAGGCGGGAAGGGAACTGCTCCACTGACCCAGATCAAACCAACTGTCTCACCCCATTTGGGTGGAGAACTCCGGTGTAACAAGTCCATAGGAATGTGGCCCCAAGAAAAACCTGGGCTGAACACACTTTCTGGTATTCTCCTAGGGAATAGTTTGAATGAATTTTCATGATAGCTTGAACATTTTGTTAATAAACAATTTTATCTTAAGCTTCCTTCTTAACTCCCTCCTCATAAGTAATTAATTGCATATATGCCTGTTGGTGATGGTGGTGGTAGTGGTGATGATGATGTTGATGACGATGATGATGACAGGTATTTAACATCATAAAATAGGAAGCTTTGTTCTAGACACTTTACACATATTACCACATTTAATTCTCACAACCCTCAGTAAGGTCAGTACTGTTGTTATCTTCATTTTACTAATAAGGAACTCGAGTCACAGACAGATTAAGTCATTTGCCTAATGTCATACTGTATGTAAATGGTAGAACTAGAATATGTACTTAGACGTTTATCCACACACTGATGCACAGGCATTGATTAACCAGCTTTCTTGTTTTAGAAATGTCAAGAGGATGTACAGGGTGGTTGGGCAAGATTAATACACGTTTCTTCATTATTTTAGTCACATTCTTTTCTAAAATTAATTATAAAAAATCATCAGTTAAATGTCATGTATTATTTTCATTTGTATGTTATATATGTATACTTTAAATTCCTCCTGTATCTGTCTATAATTGTGTGTGCATACGTGTGTGTGTGTGTGTGCGTGTGTGTGTGCGCGCGCGCACGCGCTCGCACTTGGGGCAGGGGGCAGGGGTGCTAAGGCAATGAGATGGGGACTAGCCACACTGCTGGTCCATGTGAATTGAGGTAGTTCTATATTGTATAATGTGATATCTCAGAATCTGTTTTCTCCTTTAGGGGTCCTAAGGCTTTCTCTGTGTGCTTGAAGATCATAGTATATGCTGCAGGTCTTAATGCAGATATGGATTAGAGCTCAGTTTGGAGGCTGCGTGGCATTTGTTTGAGTTTTTTATTTGACTCATGTAGACCCACCTATATTACCTTCCATATCTTCATACTTTGTATTCATAGAAACTGACCTAGAAACTCCTCTGTTACCTGAAGTAAGATCTGGTTACAAAAACACTGTGTACATTTAACATATTTTTCCCCTACCTACCCTTTGAGAAAAATGATGCAGGCAGAATAATACATTGAGCTAATTGGTTATCGAGAGACTTGGGTCTAGGTATTTTACAGCTAGTGTAGGTTTGTCTTTAGAGCAATCATTTCAACTCTCCAGGCTTATTTGTAAACTGGAAGTTAAGCCATTTCAATAGTTCTTTTGTGAACATTTTCAAGTTCACAGGCCACTTCAAAATTGTTGAAACATGACTCTCTCCTCATAAAATGTGTATTTCTGAGCACACATATTTTCACAGAGTTTCCAAAAGTTAACAGTGCCATAAGAGCCCACCTAGGACCTAAGGACCCCTGGTTTAAAATACTGTAGCAAGGAGCTAGTTCTTATTGCTTGCTGGCAGGTAATGAAATTAGATAAAGGCCTACTAAAACTAATAGAGAGAGGTGTAGGCCTACATCTTGCAAAAATTCAGTCAGTTATAATAAGGTGCTGATATCATTTAATTAGTTGTAGCCTCTCTAGAAATAAGGATAAGAAATTAGATTATTTTAAAGCATACTTTACTTAGTGTTTTTTTCTAACAGGCAAGAGGATTTCTCCTTAGTTAAATCTGTCCTTAGTGTACAGAGGAGATATTCATTGACACCTAAATGAATACTTCTAAAAGCTATTAAATACTGAATCTTCTGTTATCTTTCATATCTATGCTTCTTGAAAATTCATTAACTAAGGCATTCAGATTTTTTATAAAACCTTATTTTGCATTTACAGTATTTCATAGGGAAGTTTTTGTTTACTTTCAAAGATTATAGGATAATTGTATATGGTAAAAAAATAATTGCCATTTTATTTATATATTCGCTAATGTTTTCAAATTAAGCTAAAGGAAATTAGAAGACTATCTGACAGGTAATAGAAAAAATTTTAATGTCTTCCTGGAATTCTGTATGAATTTTTTATTATATATTTTATCCATTCTCAATTCCACTTAACTAAATAGCAGTGACTTACCAAAATTTATATAATAAGCCTTGGCAAATTAATAGTAATATCAATCTGCTGAAATTCCTCCTATCCCTTTGCCCAGTCAGGTACACTCACTCATCAAATCCACTCTCCTTCCAGCTGTGAAGCTAATTTGTCATCTTAAAGAATTTCTTCTAGAAAAGAAAATATTTCATATTTATCTGCAAAAATTACATTTCAGAATACACTGTTGATGTCAACCTGTACATATATGCTATTTCATATGAATCTGTATATTTTGACAGTATGTGTTAGGGGATAAAGGACAGCTGTCATGAAGCTTCTTTTCTAGTTTTTGAAGACTGTCACCAGTAGAAGATTCAAAGGAGAGAGGGAAATGTATGTCTGGCACAATCATATTTTCTTAATTACCTTCTCAGAATAAAGGAGTGTCTGTAGAAGGATCCCAAAGATTAAAAAAAAAAAAAACCTGCTTGAGAATACTTTTTAGAATAGCTATGTGTTCACTGGTGGCTGGCTTTGAAATTCTTGGCAATAATTATGATGGGAGAGGCACAGAATATGCTGTCTGTAATATAATTCTGCTTTTCTCTCTCAATTTTGAAAATAGTTATGGATGCTGCTCTTTGCACACACCTGTATGTTAACAAAAAAGGTGAACTTATTGGTATTATCTGTTCACATCCCTCTCATATTCAGGTTATTGTCTAAAGATAATTGATTTATCTTTTCTTTTAAATAAGTAAAATAAATAAGCAAGCAAGCAAGCAAGCAAGCAGACAAGCAAACAAGCAAACAAGCAAGCAAGCCAGCTTGCCTTTATTTGAGTTCCTACTCTGATGAAGTTTCTATTCTAAGTCCTGGGAAGATTGTCTACTTCTCTCCACTTCATTTAAAAAGAAAACAGACATGGTCTTTCCCTCAGGGTATTCACGGCCTGGTTGGTAAAGTAGAATATATATTTTATATGTTATATTATATACTCACTCATGTAATTGACAAATGTAAGAGAGTCTGTGCCAAGGAGAGATAATAATTCACTGGATTGAATTTAAAGCAAGCAGTATTTTGAGTTGGGGAAGTTTATGCATTTGAAGCCAAAACACCAGTAAGCCAAATTGTATTTGAGTATTTGTGCAAACTGAGACTAGCAGAGAACCTAAATAATTTACTCATATTCTACATTAGGAATTCTGTCCCAAAAGCTGTTCAGAAAAAAAAAAAGGTATTATAATTATCTTTTCTTCCACATCTGTAAAAAAATTCTTAATTCAAGAGCTGCTATATTAAGTTGTAAATTAATCAGAATTGTGGTTTAATAGCAAGTGATAATTTGATTGAACAAATGCCTAGGTGTTATACACAGTACCTGATTAGGTTAACATGCTTGCTTCACCAATATAATAGTAGAATGGAAATGCATAACTTAACACCTCTGCTGAAAGAAAACCATTGCCTTTTTAACAGATTAGACTTTGGTAGAACTCAATTTCTCTAATGTGAACATGTCAAAATTTGATGTCTGATCTTGTTATTGCGAGTAGCAAAAGGCCTTATGCATTTTTTTCCTTCAACATAAAGAAGAAAAATCACCTCTGTGGTTTATAAAATCAAGTGTTTCACCATTTCCATATTTATAGTGATAACTTATTAGATTTTGGTCTTTCTAAAGTGTGTTCTTAATTTTAAAAATATAGTTACTGTTCCCATTATTTACTTCCATCACAAAGAATAGTCTGGGCATTCCTAATAATTATTCTGTCTTTCTTGATAAATAGGTTAGTCTTATCTATATACTATTTTATCACTTGTTTCTCATTGTGGATTTTTCTGAATCAGTATTTTCCTGGTGGTTATATTAGGTTACAGGAACTGTCTACAGTGTGTGCTTTTATTGCACACATTGTGGAGTGTTTAGGGAAATGACTGATCTGCATTCCAGGTCTCATTAGTCAGCAAGGTGATGAATGAGGCACAACTCCCTCACCTGTTTTTATTTCCTGCTATGTAAAGTTTTTTTCACTGACTATGTTAATTATCCAACACAAATGCATACTATATCATTAGTTACATTGCAGTTTATATTATTATAGTTAAATTGCAAATTGCTTTACTTTAACTGAAATAGGGCCTTAATTAAGAATAGTACATAACCTAATGTTTTCTAAGAGTGAACGATTACCTTGTGTGAAACATATGGTGTGTATATTGTAACAAAAGGTAATAGCCCCTTTTTGAATTTCTTAATACTTTGATGGTATAAAATGCTTAAATATTAAATTATAGTTGGTTAGTTTTAATAGACACAAAGTATGAAAAACAATGTAATTAGGTTAAATATTGAAAGAATATTTTCCTTTTATTTCCATGTGATTTTACTTGACAGATGAAATATAAATTCCTGATCATTAAATTTGCTAACCATT